GCAGGTCAACTAGAATGATGTCAGTCAAGCTTGGTGTTCTTTGGCAAAACCACTCCTCTGAACAAGGAGTACGTTTCGTTTCTGAGAATAGAGGTGATTGGACAAACCGATTTTGAGGTGGAGCCTTTTGCGTGATGAGCCGCATTTAAGAAATCGGTTAAGGACTCTTTGCAGGCTTCACAGGCATCTTACCAACTGTCTTGGCTCCAACCTTCAACCTTCAATAACTGAAGAATTAGTTGTTGGTAAAACCTTACAGGCTTCTTTAGTTCAGTCACAACAGGCGTTTTGAAATGTGGGTCAGATCACCACCTGTGATCAAATGTGGATGTTGGACCCATTTTTTTACGCAGACTACTGAGTCTGTCCCATTGGTACCTGGCTAGGATCACTTTACTTGGCTGCCCTTATTTCTGAATGTGAGTGGGTCAAAAATGAATCCTTACAATTATTGTAATGCTTAATGAAAAATCTATTTAACATAATTGTTTACCTGGTATGGTGTCATTTAAAGTGTGCTCCATTTAAATAGGCTGTTCTTGCCAATTCAGCATTCATCGCCAAATAAGAAGTTAAATAAGATAAAGAGAAATTAAAAGGACAAGGAGTGGAAGAGATTAGAAAGAAGAGACTAAGAGCACGCTTTGATGGATATTTACTTTTAAAACAAGATTCCAGACCTATATTTTCAGGCTTAGACAGCCTTTATGTTTTTGTAAAGAATGGTTTGACACATTTTGCAGAAGCCTGTATTTGAGGTGGGTTAGTACACTCCCCCTGTTTTGGAGTACAAGTTGGCTTACTGCTTGACCTACGAGCCTGTTTCCTCCTGAACCTGGCAGGAAATAGTATATAAAAGGAGTTGAGACGTCCTCTGTAATTTGTGTAGGAAGACGGTTATCGGCTTCCTGGGGAAAACCTTCCAGTGGCCAAAGCCTGATGGATTAGTAGTTTTCCTCTGCCGTATGAAAAATAAGCGTCCGATTCCAAAACTGGCCACGCTGTTGAATCCTTATCCCTGCGGCACATGATCTCCCTGCAGCTTCTTCACCTGGTGCTGAAATCCATCGCTCTAGAACGGACGACAAGACACGATGTGGAGCTTTTCTCCCCTGTCCAGGAGGAAGAGATGGACTTGCAGGATATGGGCTGTATTTCACATAATGTGTCATAATGCACTTCCTGTACACCGTAGACGGAGACGCTAGACAGAGCACTCGCTATATTTGGTGGAGGTGTGGGTAGGTTGTGTTTATAGTAAATGTTTTTTTAATGGTGTGCACATGACAGATTAAACTGTTTCAGGCACAGGAAGTTAGTCTCTGTGTGTGTTAATAATGTAAAGCTGAAATCCCATACTTTAGATTTGACTCTACATCTCTGGAGTGGTTCTTGGTACATTGCACACTCAGAATTCCCTCACCTTTTTTATTTGACCTAATACAAATAATCTTTTTAACTGTCGAGGCTGCAGTGCCGAGTTACAAAAACTGTGCTGTGTACTGCAGCCTGTCCAGGTTTGTGTTCAGAAGTTCCTACCTAGCCTTCTTTGTTTCATCCTAAAAGGATGGCTTTAAATTGTTGGTGCTGCATGTAGTGTAATGCTGGCCTAATCAGTTTCTAGCACCTTTAATAATACACCTTTTGCATCTGTTACCTAGTTCTTCTTTTCACCTTGCAGAAGAAATAGCCATATTACTAATAAGCACAGTAAAAAGTCTGACTCACAGGATTCCTACGACATTTACCTGCTATGCATGTAAATTAGTGTAGATAGTGCTGTAAGAGACGTTTTGGCATTTAAATTATCGACTTACAGATGATTATAGCTTGTTTTGCCAAGTCTCACAAAGTGAATAGTGGGTCTATTAATGGATCTAATTATTGCTTCTGCAATTATATGGTTAATTAAATTTTAGCTTGTGCGGTATTAGAATGTCAAATCCCAAACTAAATTACTTAAAGATGAGGCCTACAGTTAGCTGGCATTTTCTCCAACCATCCCATACGAATAACATTTCAAAACATTTTCCAGTTTTTCTTCATAATTGAGCCAGTCATTCAACTTTTTTAACTTTTTATTAAATAAACTGTGTAATTGTTTAGGAGAAGATTGCTTTCTGTCCTGTAAATATTAAGCAGAACCTTTAGGCTTCACAAGCCTGCAAAGTCACTCTGAAATGCCAAGTATGAGGCCAACACCCTCAGCCTCACTGCCAGTGCAATGAAGTGTGCTTTGAATGGAATGCAGTGGCAGCACATTGTACAATATCTGATACCTCTCCAGTATTACTACAGTGAAGACCTTCAATGCAGTGACCAAGTGAAAATGGGTTGTAAGACCCTTTGGGCTGAATCACTCCTAAAACCATGTTCAGAATCAGTCCATCTTTAGTATCTGGATGCAGGCTTGAGATTCTCCGTCTTCCTGCTTGTACAGGCAGGGTGTGTTACTGTAGGTGGAGGTTTCTCTCCCCGACTGGGTTATGTACAGTATGAAGGAGATGTGAAGGAAATTGGTCAGTAGCACATCAGGAAAGACTGTTTTTTTAACCAGGGGGCTAGGACTTTGGCTTTGGGTTCTTTGAAAACGGGACCCCCGCAGTGTAGGGAAGCTAGCAATGCTGATTCTCTGCAGGAAGAAACAGCGTGGGTTTTATTCAGTGCTTTTCATCCCAGTGGAGGCCGAAGCCTTTGACAGAGAGGAGTTCAATGCACACTGTCCTGTACTTGTGACACATTGCAGCTTATCCCGACCAGCAGCCTCACTGCTAAACGGATCAGGTGGGGAAGTTAAAGAGATCACTTCACCAGTTACCCCTCTCCAGTTTTAAGGCGTTTTATTTTTCTCAGTTATCATACATGGCATTGTTGTAATTAGGTAATTGCAGGAATTAACCACGTTTGTTTAGAACTAGGGAAGAAAGTGATTTATGGCTTCTTATCTAGAGATCTCTACTGTTTAAGCCTGAAAGTGTTTCTCCTTAATGGTCTTTGATTAAACCGCTCTGTCCTTTATATGTATAAGTCTCTGGTTTCCTTCTGTAAAGTCTTACTGCATGAAAAAATGAAACTCATCATTAGATTGTAGTGTTGCAGGGCGATACCTGTGGTTCACATTAGTTGGTATTGCTGTATGTATAGAAGTTGTACCACATCCCTTAATATTAACTTTTGTTAAAGAATAGAGCTCAGTTTATATAATGTTTTCTTTTTTTCAAGTCAGTTTAAAATTAAATTACTTGATTTAATTGGAGCTTACCTCTCCCGATTTCTGTTTTTAAAAAGAAAATGTTTATTAGTTGAAAATTCCCAAGTTGTTACCTAAAACCCTAGTGGAGGACACACACTGCTTAATTTAAGAACGGGTTGCCTTAAATTATTCTAATGTACTTTCAGAAATCAAAGTCATGCACAGCTCATTATTATTTTTGCAGATATACTATGAAAAAGCAAGTAGAGTAATTTAGCTGTGATTCTGAATACTTTGACTGTCGGTATCTGGGCCAAAGATATGATAGGAACTCTATGATGACAGTTACTCAGTAGAAATTGCAAATGGAAGAAGGTAGGTTTGATTCAGAATTTGCCGTTCAAAGTTCCTTTAAGAGTGTTTTTTTTAACAAATCAGTTAAAACTTAACTTTCTTTTGTGGACTGAGATGAGAGAGAAGTGAAGATGTTTTCTAGCCTTATGGAGTTCTTTCAGGTTTTTCAGTTTTGAACGTTTGATTAATGGTCTGAGCACTGAAACAGTTGTTCTCACCTTGTAAAGAGTATTTTCTTATTCCTTTGCTAGTTTTACCTCTCTTTGTAAAAGGAGCTTTTATAAAATCAGTGTCGGGAAGACTCAGTGAGAATGCTACTTCGAATATGGATATTCTGTCTTTGCAACCTGATTTCTTTACCCTTAGAGGTTTCCCAGTTGTGGACCAGTATAAGTTGTGGACCAGTATATGGCACTCTTATATCTGCTCCCTAAATTCCAACCCAATGTCCCAGTGTGGTGACAGGGGACGCTGTAGAGCAGGTAGGAGGTACTGTCCTTATGGATGTGGCTCAGGATCTGCGCCTGTGGCTGGAAGGTTGCCGGTTCGTATCCTGCAGCCAGCAGAGGAATCCTACTCCGTTGGGCCCCTGAGCAAGGCCCTTAACCCCAACTGCTCCAGGGGTGCCGTATAAATGGCTGACCCTGGGCTCTGACCCCAAATTTCTCTCTCCTTGTCTGTGTGTCTCATGGAGAGCAGGCTGGGGTATGCGGAAAGACAAATTCCCAATACAAGAAATTGAATATGGCCATTAAAGTCATCTTATCTTATTTTCTGGGGTGCTAAACCAACTGGTTAAGATCTTGGATTATGTGCATAATGGCATAGATGCAGATCGCACCGCAGTTGGTGAAAGAATCTATCCCCAGTGTCTGGGGTTCGACTGAACTCCATTGTCAGCTTTACTTGGTGGAGCTTTTCAGTCTCTTTTCGCCCACTTCTCCACCTGAGGCTCCACAGTGAGGTGCTGTCGCAGAATTGCTGTCACGAGCCATGCACAGTGCCCCAGCGCCCTGGGGAATTAGGTGAACCCCCTCTTCATTTTAAGGAGTTTAAGTGTCCCTCTGGACGGAAAGCTCCATGCAACACCCTGGTTTTTGTTTTCCACATGAGCATGTTAAAAAGCAGATCTCTCCAGTGCCCGAGAGGAAGGGAGCATCAGTGTCCTTCCTGATTCGCCGCTGCCCTGTGGCTCTGGCGCAGAAATGTCTCCGCAGGAGTTTGGTTTGTCCTGGTGGTTAGACTGCGAGCAGTGTGTGGTCAGGTAGCGTGGGCGTCCTGGAGGAGCTGATCCGCCTCTCCCGCCCTGGCAGCTGGAGCCTCCTGTTGGATGTGTGCGGAATTCGAGTAATTGATAAATCCGGAACTGTGGAAACATCACCTGCTGTCTTGTGTTGTTTTTGTTTTGTAATTAAAAGCTGGCAAAAACATTGTCTTTTTTTTTTTGTTTCAGGCCCGTAATGTCAACACTGGAGAGCTGGCAGCCATTAAAGTCATTAAGCTGGAACCTGGTAAGACCGCTGTTTTCTGTGATGAATAACTCCAGGAGGCTTTCCTCCTCTCTTACAAAAAAAAAAACCCAACATTTTTCCCCCAGCTGAACATGAACCTTCAACACTCAGATAAAATCAGTCCTTTTTAAAAATGCAAACTTATGTTTCAGATTACATTGACATTGCTTTTGCTGAGGTTCTTTTGAGTATCTTGGCTTGTGTCTTTTACCTTAAATTGTGAGGCGTGGTGTGGTTTGGTGTTTTGTACTACAGCCTGGCGTGAGGTAGTTGTATGTGTGGAGTTTGCATGTTTCCCTCTTTTTGTGTGGGTTTCTTATAGTGGCTCCAATATCTTCCCACCTCCCAAAGACTTTCCTGTTAGGTTTGATGTTCTGGACGTTTCAAGGAGGTATAGTATAAACAAACCTGCCTGTTCTGGCTTTGGGATTACAGAGAAGTAATTAATTAACTAATTAATCAATTAATTGCTTACACTAGTATGGTCCTTTTCTGGACACTACACTCTCAAAGCGCTTTACAGGTAATGGGGACTCCCCTCCACCACCACCAATGTGCAGCCCCACCTGGAGAAGCAGAACTAAAATGAACTTGCTTGGTCTAATAGCCTGCAAATGAGAGGAGGCCTTCTGATGGTGTCATAACAGGGACTAGAGTTTAAAACTGAGCTGCTCCTTTGTAAAATAAGGTTTTTTGAATACGTTTTCTGAACTTCAGTTAGAACAAGTGTATTAGATCCAGTGTACTGGAACATTTTAAATTCAGCTTTAAAATTTTGGGAATTGAAGGGCAATATCCACTAGTGTTTGAAATTGGTCCCAAAACATCGTCCCTGAACTGAAAACCGTTTTAAGTGACTTGACATGTGCAGTCTTGTAATTTGAAACGTGCCTTTGCATTCCTTTCTTATTTTGAATTTTTGAAATGCTGATGGTGGCTGGGAAGTGATCTACTTTCATTGTTTGGGTGAGGAGGACAGTTGAACGCTGTAGCTACTCCATGTCTTGTCCAAGCCACGCGCGTTCTCCGCCGGGGGCCAATCGCTGACTCAAACGTGACTCAGACACAGACCCTTATTTTGGTTTTCAGCCGTTTTCGCTGGATGAATCACGTTCCTGCCCTCCGCAGCAGCCCACCCCGATCTGTAGTTCTGTTCGGTGATTGACAGTGGCGTGCTCTTTCAACGCAACGAATCGGAAACAAACACACAAAAAAAAGCAGCAGAAACAAAATGGGAGAGGTTCCAGCACAGCCTCACAGGAAGCTGGCTGAATCCTGTGGGCTGCGCTGTTGGCGGTTTGTTCCAACAGGACGTCGAGCAGGAACGTGCCGTAATTAGCCTTAGGCTGAAGTCACTTACTGAGTCGTTCCCAAGGTTTATCTTATCTAGGACTCAGGTAGATTGTTCAAGGAGAAACTGGATATCGGTTTTGGCTTACTCTTTCAAGTGGGGTGGAACAGTGGTGCGACAGGTACTGCTGCCAACAGCATGTGGCTGTGGCATCCTTCTGTGTGGAGTTCACATGTTCTTGTGTCTTTTCTCTCGCCGCTCTGTTTTTACTCCTGCCTCCCAAAGCTTAGATGTGGTTGGCATCTCTGAGTGTAAAAATCCATGGTCCTCCGAGGGGCTGGCACCCACCTCACTGGGAGGATGTCGTTTGCTACCTCAGTCCTGCCTTATTCCCTGTGATTCCAGTGAGAGGCTCAGGGCTGCTGCACTTCCCACTGGGACATGTGGTTTTCTGAGCATGCTGGGTTTGTGATTGCAAGTAGACGATATCGCAGCAATAAAGGGACAAATGCGAATGTTGTCTGACAGTTCTGTTATTTGTTCAGCTTGACCAGATTTTTTTCACTGCCATTACTCCCGATGTTTTAGAACCCAGATCAGGCAGGATGCTTTTAGCTATTTCAAAAGTTGTTTATCGTCTGAGTCTGTTGTATACATGTGAGATGGAAATGATCCATTATATGTTGTACGGACAAATGAGAATTGTGGGCTTAAAATATATCATTTGGATTTAAGCCCAACTGGATTTCTATCAATCACAAGACAGGTTATCTGCATCAAGATTTTCAGTTAAGCTTTGTTTTTCCTGATACATTACAAGTATTAATACCACAAATATTAATAGCATTATTCAGTAAATAAAATACAGCATCAAATCTGAGGACTCTGAGGTAGAGCTGGCTGTTTACGTAAGTCATGCAGTGCGTGGTTTTATTTGCTTTTCCTAGGGAAGGAAATTCAATCTCTCATGTTTCTTACCTGTGCTATAGTATATCTGTGCAGTAGTAATAGGAGATCTGTGACATTTCCAAGTGGGGTTAGCAATTTTTCTTTTGTTCTGGAAAAGCAGATGGTACCAGTGGGGGTTAGTAGAGATCGCCGTCTAGTAGAAAAGAACCCATCTTTGTGCTCAGTTTCATGTTTTGTGGTATTTTATTGTGAAAATGCGAGGAAGCATACTTAGGAGTCAACAACTGTGTGTTGGCTTGTTAGAATTTGTCATTCTTCATCTGAACTAACCCTGTGAATTGTGTGTTTTGTTTGTTTACACGAACATTCAAGTTTGAGTGTGATGCTCTTGTCACAGTCCCAGTTTTATTCGGTTTCTCCAGCTGCGTCTTAAACATTTCCATTACACTAATTGAACACACATTCAGACTTTTCTGGAAATTCTTTTGTTCCATTTGTGGTTTGGTTTTTTTGACAAGGGAAGATAAAATTATTCTACTGGATAAAATGTTGGAGAGAAATTAACTCGATATTACTGTTGTTGTTGTTGTTGGTTGTTTTTAAATGTGCACGTGTTGGCGGGAGGGAGTAGGTTTTCGTTGTTCCCGTTTCATTTCCAGCAGTAGTCTTCTGTAAACCTGAGTTGCTCTACAGAAATGCGTGAACATCTTAACGAACGTAGTGCCCAAAGTAACTGGAGCTAGCCTTCACAGAATGTAAATCAGAAGGGCTTATCTGCTCTGTAGTGCTTTAAATAATTATGGCACTGAGATAATTCAAATCGAACACGTGCTTCTGCATGTGTCACACCCGGATACAGCTGAATCATGTTTATTGTTGGTGGCTTTCTCTGTCATTATGTAGTGTTTCCTACCCCCACACCTTGTCTGGCGTCGTTGCTTAGTAGACTCCTTAAAGGAGTGAACATATTTCTTGATTAAAATCACTGCCAAGTTTTTTTTCTTCATGCCCATAAAGATCCTGTGTTACTTATAAAGTGCAGGAGTTAAAAACAGCCCCCAGGGTGTTTAGGAGATGAAAACGGAAGAACTCACAATGAATTCTCTTCGGGGCTCACTTGTGTGAATAAGTGCTCAGCTGGAAGGGGAACCCAGTATCCAATATATCCAACTCCACAATGTATGTGTAATCAACGAGAGGCAGAACATTTGAAGGAAAGGAAACCATGATAGCAGAATGTTAGCAGCAAAGTTGTATCATTTCCAAATTTTGCCTAGGTAACGTGGAGGACTGGGGGAACTGAACTGGCAGATTAATATTCAGAGCACATAAGGCCTAACAGATCATACCGTGCAATTAAGTCCCTGCGCAGAAGTGTTCAACTAGCATTGTGCATGAACCTACAAGCACAGATGTCAGTGTAATGTTTAACTTTTGATTTGGCAAAAAAAAAGACATCCAGATTTTGAAAGGGTAAAAGCCAATAATTAACTCAGGAAGAGCTCCCCTCCCACACCGACAACCTGAATGTCCTTGTAACGTTTCATACCATTGTTACGTTACGGTTTTGGGTTTTGCAGGTCAGTCCATGTTCACAGAGATACAAGGTGGCAGTGAGTGACTGCTCTGTTCCTGATGCAGACACTGACACTCAAGCACTTCTGCATTCTTCAGACAGTGCCCTCAAGATCTGCACATCACAGGCTGCCTTGGATATATATCGGCAGCACCGATGGGCAGAGCCCTGTGTGGTGTTTGAGAAACGCCTTCTTTACCTCCTGTTGTTACTTTCAAGGAAGTTCGGACTTGTGCACTTGTTCTCGGTTCATTCACACGAAGAGGAAAGTCATCAGAGACCTGGTTCTGCACAGTTAACAACGTTGATCATTTTGGCCTTCATATCTTTTGCCATTTCAGGAAATAACAGAACTTTTAAACAAGATAATACTTATACCATATTTATCTCCTCCAGCTGTTCCTTGCAGGAAGCCAGGGTATCCTCTTAGACAGCGTGGCTGAGCAGCTGGTTTCTGGCTCACCCAGACATTGATGTAAAGAAAAAACTCTCCATGTTCTCCGGTTTGAAATGCACTTTCCTGTGTTCTAGTTTCCACAGTTTCTTTAAATCTCAAGCTTACAGAGCAAAAAAAAAAAAAATAGTAGCTTGGCTTTGAAATGCTTGGCTTTTGCCAGGTCTGGTATTGAAATGTGGGACTTATTTTTTTAAGTACTTGACCACCTGTGGACATATGGCATTTTGAAGATATTTCAAGAGGATATGCAGTGGATTGCTTTTTTGTTTTGGAGCCTTGTCTTTGTTTGTGCAGATTTCTGGGTGGGTAAATGAGGTTTCTTGCCGATAATCCCTTTTCCCCAGAGTAGTGACAGTGGGGTGTGCAAGAGTCCAGAATGCACAGTTTGGTTACTCCTGCTGCCAGGGAAAAGAGCAGCTCCCAGTCGCATACAGGATTTCCTTAGCTGTGTTAACTCCCTGCCACTAGTGGCTGTTCCCGGTGCGGCCAGTGAGAGTGCACGTTTACACGTATCGCCTGTAGCTTCGCTCTTGTTATATGTCATTTCTTGTCACTTTCCTGTCCCGTGTTTTGGGTTGTGAAGACTGTGGGTTTCCAGCCGTGCGGTCTGCCTACGTGAGCACCAAAGAGTGTGGGTAAAGCGCTGTGCGTCACTAATTTCCTTCGCCGTTCTCTTTTCCCTGTAGTCAGCTGTTAGAAGCCATTGCCGGTCCCAGTGTCAAGCACATTGAGCTTACATGCTGCACGTCGGGACGGTGACCAGCTTT